TTTTCTAAGTTCTACCATATGATTTTATTATTCCCTCATCATTTTCCTTTTTTTCCCACCCACCATGAATATCTTTTCTTCGCCTTTCTTCTCCATAATTGTTTTGTTGCATTATTGTTTTATCGTAACATGTCTCTTAGTGGTTAGATTTCGTGTATGCTCCCAATCTTTGAGGCTTATTTTTCTTTCAAAGCGAGTGGTGCCCGTTCATCTTCATTATGTCTGCGCTGTTCTCCCTGTTGACCTCTAGGGGGCTCAGGTTCCCCTTTACCCACCTGCTCATTTTCCCCTGCCCTCCGCTGGGTCCTCAGGAGGGCGCATCTGGGTGGATCAGATTAAAAACCATCTCTCTGAACTTGGGGAGGGGCAGACCTGTGTTCACACAGGTCGGAGCATGTGGGAGTGCCCTCTTCTCGGGTGGGGGGGGGGGGAAGGGCCGGTGCAGGCTGCCCAGCCCCCTCCTCTCTGCGGCCTCAGAGTGGGGCGATCTTAGACCAAGCTGCTCTCTACTTTGTTTCTGAACCTTTCGGCCCGTCTACAAACTGGTTTTCTAATGTGCTCCTTTGGGGACATTTCCTTCCGAGTGTCTAATTTTTGGCTCAGCGTGCTCACTGGGGACCGTGGTCTACATTTCAAACTTCAGAAACCAGGCTTCACATCGTGAGCCTGGACCGCGCATGGTTCCATTTCATAGACCCAGCACCCCCAAATCGCCACAGTGACCAGCCACCATCACCTGCAGCGTCCCTGTGCTTTCGCAGTGAGTGGTTTCAAAGGGCGTCTGCGCTGCTACCTCAGATCAGTGTCCGCACCTTAAATTACGGACTTGTCACAGGTTCAACGATTTCTTTTTTTTTGCCTTGCTCTTTCTCAGAGGGTATATTAGTTGGCTTAGAACATCAGATTGCAGTTAAGAACAAGCTTATTCACTGTCTGAGACCGTCTGAGTCCGTGGGCGGCTCTGCCCCGCACACTCTGGGACTCACGATGGACCCCCTGTCTTCACTCTGGACTCCTGGGTCTCCCCGGTCAGCGAGGCTGTAGCCAGTGCAGAGGGAAGGAAGGTGTGAGGGGCGGGGGGCGCCTGCCCTCTTCAAAGGGCCTAGATCTGCACAGGCCACCTGGAACTTTGGCCCACCTTCCAGTGAGAAGAATTAGGTCAAATGGCCCCCTGGAGGGAAATGTGGTCTAGCCACATGTCTAGCCACATGCCCAGCCACTGGGTGGCTACATGGGAGATGGCGAGCGTGGACTTGGTGGCAGCCCGGACTCTGTGCCACGTGGGGTCGGTGGAGGAAGTCCTAGGAAGTGTGGCACTGGCCGTCGAGATGGGTTCCAGGAGGCACTGTGCCACTCCTGAGCCAAATCCAACAAAAGACTTTACCGATTTTTATAGCTTTGATTGACCAGATCAGAGGTTCATGAGAATGATTGCAGGAAAACTACTGACAGACACAGCTTCTCAGCTGTGTTGAAAGGGCTTTGTACCCTGGGGCATTACTCTTTCACCTCCCAGTTCGCCAGAACACTGTTTCCTTCAACATCGGCTGGCGTACCAGCCCCGCCCAAGCACCAGCTGCCGCAGCTCCCTCTGCCATGTGACGCTGGTGGCCTGAGCCAGCGGCTGAGGCAGGGCTGCCATTCTGAGTGCCAGCCCGGGTCACTTTCCCAGTGCGACTGGAGGTGGCCTTCCCACCCACTTCCCTGACACCCACTCTCACCCACGTGGGCCACCAGGTTCGAGGAAGCCACCGCCCAGGCTGATGTGGCCTGGCACGCCGTGACTCGGGGCACTGGTCCTGTCCCTCACTTTGTTTCTTGTGTGAGTGACGACCCTCCTCTGGTGTCCAGGACTGGCATAGATCTTACCCCAGTTCTCGATTCCTTTAGTTACTTCAACAGGAATTCTTCCTTCACCTATTCACATGTTTCTTGTTTGGTAAATATTCCGTGACCATCTGCACTGTAGCAGGCAGTGTGCTTAGCTGGGTGGGGTCGGTGCAGTGGCCAGAAGAGAGGTGGTCCCTGCCTTTGTGGAGCTTCTCACAGGGAGCAGAGGGGGTGCATGAGGAGAGGCAGGCACGAAAAGAGCAATCCAAAAAGAAATGGAACCCAGCTCCGGGGATGCTCCAGAGCCTCCAGCGAGCTCATTCCCCAGGCCCTGAGGTCGGGAGGTCCCCTGCAGTGGGGACTGCGATGAGACTGCATGAAGAGCAGGCCTCGCTAGGGGAGGAGGGCAGAGGAGGGCACCCCGGGCGAGGGAGTGAGGGGTGCACATCTTCAGGTGGGGCCGAGCGGGGTGCCGGCATAGGCGGGATGGTGGGGCGGTCAGGTTTGCAATTTGCCAACATGACCTGGGCTGCAGGCAGCAGTGTGAGGGGTGGGTGGAGAGGAGCAACGGTGGGGGGGCGTATGGACCGGTGAGGAGGTGGCTGCAGTCGTCCGGGTGAGCGGTGACGGTGACTCGGAAGAAGATGGAGATGGTGGAGGTGGTGGAGGTGATGGAGTTAAATGGGTTGGCTTGAGGTCTGAGTTCACTGTGTGTGGATTTCGTGAGCAGAGGGAGCTAAGTGCCTTCTAACCATCAAACCATGAAACATGCCCTTTCTTTCTTCGTCTGGAACTTTTCAAGCAAGATAAACAGTAAGCTTCTTGTTCTCAACAAAGGAAAACGGCACCATTGCCTTTGCCTGGCGGTAACGTAGTTGGCAGACATTTGGTTTGTGTATCTCGAGTGAATCATTGCATGACGTCAGCTCTTCTGCCAAGCCTCCGAGTCCCAGATGAGACCGCCATAGTGAGGACTAGCTCTACCAACCTCTAACTCGGGGGCAGGAGGGTCAGGGGGGTGCATGGTGCTTTTCCCATACACCAGTGTCAGATGTCACTAATTGATTGCAGCTCTTTGTCTCCCCAAGTCCAGATGAGACCTGGGAATGCTTCCCCCAAAGCCCTTGAGGCAGCCGATACCAATAACACTTCCCTTGAAACCTATTTGCTATTCCCTCACAAGCAAAGAAAAAATTAACACGGAGTCCTCTGTACTTCCCCTGTGAACTTGGCAGTAACCCCAGGAGACCTCGATTCATCTTGCTCTTGTACTTTAGACACAAACCAGTCCACAAGATCCCTCACTGCCGACACCAACTGCAGAGTGTGGGGGTCCCCAAGGCCACTCTCGGGTTCCATAATTCGCTGAGACTCACAGCACTTATTGAAAGCTGTTAGGCTCACTTACAGTTTGTTACAGTGAAAGGGTACAGATGACAGTAAGCCCAGGGGACTGGCACATGTGACAGAGTGCAGGGGAGTGAGCTCCACGTGCAGAGCTCCCCTCTGTTCCCCCACCTCGGGGTCCTGGGCAGCATTTGCTCCTCTGGAATGACCGGTGGCCACACACAGGGAGCACTGCAACCAGGGAAGCTCCCCTGAGGTTCCGTGCGCAGAGGAAGCTCTGATACCGTGGGACCCAAAGCCCCCACTGTAAAGCACATTGCTCCCCCTTGTGACTCAAAGTCCCCAGATGCACAAACAGACACTCAGGCAGGGCATCCCAGGACTCGAGATCACCTCCCAGGAGCCAAGGCCGACCTCTCCTGGGGCAAGGTTAAGTTCTCTGCTACTTGGCCTCGATTGCCCGTCTTCAGTGTTGCAACACCATAATGACCTGGTGCCACAAATAGTGAACATACATAAAGTCTTCTTTGTGTTTGTCTTTAAAAAAAACATTTTGCAAGATAAAGATGAGGTATACAGGCTGGACTTCATCACGGATATTCCGTGGAGGATGGTTGGGCGGGGTCAGCGGCTGGGCGAGGCTGGGGGTTTCTGGAGTCCGACTGCCTCAGTTCACATGGCAGGCCCCCACTGTTACGTGGCGTCACTGCTGTTTCTTCCTTTGTGAGTGAGAGTGACAATGAAACCTACCGTGTGTTGTTACACAGGGGATTAAATGGCATGATATTCGGGCTGGAAGAGTTCATGGCAACATGGAAACCCTCAATAAGATATTAGATACTCTTATTTGTATATCTATCATGGAAAAAAATTATCAACCTTTCTCAAATAATTTTCCGTGGGAAAATGTGTTCTTTTTCCCTGAAATGTTTCCATTTTCATGCCTTCCTGTCTGTCAACATGAGTGAAAACGAGACGACAGGCTTTCTAAGGAATCTGTGGGTCATGGGCCGGGGTCGGAGCAGCGAGAAGAGCCCCTCGGGCAGCTGAGTCCGAATGAGTCTGGGACACGGAAGCTGTTGGTAGATCTTTACTGTAAACCCTGGGCAGAATCAGAAGGTTAAAAAAAAAAGATGTCATATTTCCAAATTGCTCCTGCGCAATCTAGAAGATTTGGGAGAAAATAAGAGCGATCTTGCTGCAGGAATTTTAGAACTGATGTGCCCTGACCTACTTCCCGCTCTTCCCTCTCTGGCATCGAGTCCCTTGACGGCCGCCAGCAAGCGTCGCGCTGCCAGGGCTGAAATGCAGTCTGCCGGCCTTGGCCCAGACTCGTCGGCCTTTTGGAAACTGTTTCACATTGAACGAGGCACAGGAGCTCTCTGCAGTGTTAGCAGAGCCTTGCATTCGTGCCAGCCATTGATCATTTTTTTCAGATCTCCCGTGCAGGTGGCTGAACTTGAGACTTGGCTTCCGGTGTTGCCCTCTGTGAGTGGCACTTGCTCACACGCAGTGTGCATTAAGATTCTTTTCCCAGAGAGCAACGCCTTGGCATTTTCCAGGATTGTAGTGTATTCACATTCAGAACTGACGCTCTTGTTTTCAGCTCCCAAGGGTTAGGTGTTCTGAAGACCAGGGCCGACAGTGTGGGAGGACTTGGTCAATGGAACTTCCAAAAGACCTCTAGGCAGGTCAGATGCTTCTTTAGCATCTGACAACAACATCCGCTGTTGTCAGATGTGGCTCACATATAGGACGGGTACAGATAGGAGACATTGCAAATGCTGACCCAGCCACCTAACTGAGCGCTCTCTTGTCCCCAGCTTATTTCCAGTGACGCTGATGGAGCTATCCAAAGGGCTGGACGATTCCGAGTGGAGAATGGCTCTTCCGACGAGGTAAGGAAGCCCCCAGGCCCTGTATTGTCACCAAGCACGTGGTTCTGAGATGTGGCGCTGAGGGGTGTGTGAGCCCCGCCACCACCCCAGAGGACCCTCCGGCGTGGAGCCCGGGGCAGGTAAACAGTGCGCTCCAGAGCTCCGCTCGCAGCACACCTGGCCTTATCCTTTGTGTAGAAGGTGCAGCGAACAGGGTGGCACGTGCCCTTTACAAGATCTGCAATAAAACCAGGTGGACACCCAAGATGAGACCCAACACCAGTTCGCAGCCACGACACCCTCTGTGAAAGGCCCCCAGAGTCCCAGGCCAGCCACCTCGTCACTGCCACATGAGCAGTCAGGGTCCAGGAGAGGGAAAAGATCGCTGTGATTAGAGTGTCGTCTGTGTTCACGGAAGTCACCACAAAAGGAGGTCCCTCCTTGGACCCCAGCCCGCATTCTGGGCCCCCTGGTCTGCCTTGCCAGGCCACCGGGACTCGCCTTGTCTTTCTTTCTTCCTTAAAATTTCCACTCCCTACTCTGTCCCTAGGGGTCTCCCCCCAGAACTGCAGAGTGCAGGGGAAGTCCCCCAGTATTTTTCTGCCTTGCTGCTTCTGGGAGAAGTCGCTCATCACGGCACATCGGCAGTCCGTTTTGCAGTCAGACGAGCCTGGGTGTGAGTACCAGCTCCCCCGCCTCCTGGTGCTAGGACCCTGGGCAAGTAACCCAGCTGTTCTGAGCCTCGGTTTATTAATCTGTACAATGGAAACTGTCTTGGGGTGGTTGAGAGGATTCAGTGAGCCAAGCTGGAAAAGCTGCGGGCACTGTGCTGGGCATATAGTACGCACTGAATAAGTGATGTAATCGTATAACAACGGTGGTAGTTGTTACTGTAACTAATGCCTTATAGCCAGGCTCACCCACCTGACCACCTATTGATCAGATTTCTGGTAAAGGGCTATGGATTTAACTCAGAAGGCCACAGCATTCGGGAAGTTGTTGCCTGTCTTCACCTTTGTCTAGACTTAGCATACCTGTTGATCCAGATGTGTACCCATTGGCCCAGATGTGTACCCATTTATCTAGACATGTACCCACTGACCCAGACGGTACCCATTGACCCGGATGTGTCCCCCCACCATTGTTCTGTGAGGCAGAGGTGTGGATCCATCTTGGACTGGACCTCTGAGTAGGTGACCACATACTTCCTGTGCAGAATGGTGTCAACCGACCCACATGGAAGGAGCTCCCAGGGAAGTTCTCTTCTGAAGCTTGAACACAGCTCTCCCCAAATGGCCGGCCCCTGAGATGAGCCTGTCCAATGGCCACAGGCTCAAGCAGCACAGGGTCCCAGGAGCCAGGTCAGGAGCAGGAGCATCGAGGCCCCATTTGCTCGTGCTCAGAAGGCAGCAGCCTCCGTGCTGAGTGTCCACTCGGAGAACCTGAGTACCAGAGACCCCAGGCAAGCCAGAGGTCAAGAAATGCTTCTGCCGCCGATACCTTGCAGACCCTCAGCCGGCCCGAAATGAACACACTGCGGGCTTTCCCACCCCCGTTACTCAACTCGGCCCTGTCTGCCCCTGTCCTGGAGGGAAGCCACGCCTCCCAGGAAAGACAGAAGCGGGGCCTTCACAGGAAGGTCCTAGCGTCACCACGCGTTGTGACCGTCAAAACAGTCCTCACCCGGTGGTGTCACCTGGGTCTGCCCTGCGAAAGGGACCCTGGGACCCTGTCGGTGACCAGAAGTCACCTGTGGGCTGTGGTGGTCAGGGGTGTGCTAGAGTCGGCCTGCCTGCCGACTTCCGCATCTCACCGGCAGCGCGGCCGTGGGCAGGTCCCCGGGGCCCGGAGCAGCTTTGGAACCGGTTGGGAGAGGGGTTGCTTTCACAGGTCCCGGTGGGCCGTTGTGTTCAAACACAGCCCGGCTCAGATGGCTACTCCAGGAACCACGCGGTCAGGCTCACACGCTTTCAGCCTTGTTTCTGCCGAGGACACCGAGCGTGAGTGCTCCGCCGGAGCGTGCCGGCTGGGCTCTCGATCGGTGGTCTTCGGTGAGAAGCTTCAGAAGGAATCCGAGGCTTGAGGAGAACAAACAAAGAGCCGCCGTGCACTGAGTTAGTGAAAGCCTGGTGTGTTAGAAGACTCCGTGTAGCTGCTTAAAAATTTTCATACCCGCAAATGAATTGCAGAACAGATTCACTATTCGGTTATTTTTCCTCTTGTTGTTGAATTTTAAGAATTCTGTACACCGTATGGATACCAGACCCTTATCAGATGTAAGATTTGGAGAAATTTTCTCTCGTTTTGTAGGCTGTCATTTCATTGGCCTCCCTGAGTCCTCTGAAAAGTCTTTCAATCTGATGTCTAGTCCATCTGTTCTCTCTCTCGTCACCTGTGTTCTCGTGTCCTCGTGAAGAAATCCAAGGTTGCTTGGTCATGTTTTATAGTTACTATTGACATTATCTTAAAATGTTATATTTGCCTTGTATTTCTTAAACACTGTCAGTATGGTGCTTTTACCATCTGTGGCTGATAATCCCAGATGTGGCATTTGCCATGACCCTCTACTGGCCGGCCGCTTTTTCTCCCGGCCGGCGCTCACGGGGCACCACGTTTCTCTGCGTGCTCGGCGGCCTGACTGTGTGTCGTTTGTGCTTTGGGTAGATGGTGTCGGAATTGAGTTGAATTGGAGAATGCCCACCCTGTGTCAGGGGATTGCCTGGTGGTGTGGTGGGGGAACACACATACCAGAATTGGCATCAGAATCGGAGGGAGGATTAGCATTCACTTTTCCCTTTCACCTTTAAACTGAATTCCCAGCTTGAGACTTTTTTAAACCACCCAAATGATGGAGAAAAGAGCCGCAAAGTCACATGGAGGCTGCCTCCTGGTCAGAACCACTCCCCACCCAGCCTGCTCAGCGCCTGCTTGCCCCGTGGCAGCCCTGCTGCTGTCTTTGGGTCGAGTGGTCTCTTCTGGCTCCGCCTCCCCTTCAGTGTGTGGACCTTTGGGTCCCGGCCTGGGCTGGGGTGAGGTGGATGTCCTATTACACTGACCTACCTCAGCAGGTCCTGGGAATTTGATTCACTTTCACCTGTGTTGTCACTTAACTGTGAGGTGACATCGTGAGGCAGTGGGGACAGTTTTGGAGGCAAACACACCTGGGCTCACGTGGGTTCCTCAGCTCTGCCACTCACCAGTTCACGACGACGTCCGTGAGCCGCCATGTCCTCCTGGGTAGAATGGCAGGAATTCCTGCTCTGCGGCGGCCGCCCCTCCCCACCCTGGGCTTTGCACCTGCAGTTTGCAGTGGTACTGAAGTTAGGGTTTTGCACTGTCCACGCCGCATCGTGTCTCCTTCACGTGTCCCGTCATTGCTGGGTGTCGCGCGTCTTCGACATCTGGATTCTGTCACCTGTCCTACTAGCTGACCCCCCCGAGAAGCTTTAGATTACCTTGTGCTTCTCCTGCCACCTGTGCACTCGTTCTGATTGTTCATCACAATGAGTGCCACCCTGGGGGGCTCACCGGAGACCTCCCTTACAGCTCACTTGTACCTATCAGTTAGCATGTGGCGGAGCAGGGGGACAGCCTTTCAGCTCTCTACAAATCTGCCTTCCTCAGCAAGGGGCGGGGTCTCCACAGACCAAATCTGCCTTCCTCAGCAAGGGGCGGGGTCTCCACAGACGGTGGGAATATGTAAATGAGCACCATCTTTGGGGAGGACAGTTAGCAGTAATTAAAACCGCATATAGCATTTAGCCATCAGTTCTACTGTTAGGGAGTGTATGAGAGCATTATTTCAAATCGAAAAAAACTCCTGGAAGTCACCTCCATTTCTGTCAGTCAAGGAGCAATTATGTAAATGACGATACATTTACACAATGGAATGTTTAGCAGCTGGTAGAATATGAGGGGGAGAGAGATGTGATAGCCACAGAAGAGAGTTTAGGAGACAGTGTTAGGCAGAAAAGCGAGTTCCAGATTGATTTGTAGGATGTCATCCCACTTAAAAACAACAAAATAGCTAAACATGTTTGACAGTATGTAAGGAAGTTCCCAAAAGGACACCTCAGCGTTTAACAGCAATTTCTTGCTGCGGTCCAGCCGCAGCAGGGTCCAGGGATTCCCGAAAGGTGGGTAAGGCGTTGGTGATGGGGACAGTGAAGCTCTGCTCCGTTTATTACAAGTACAAGCAGGTTTTTATATTTTCATTTTAGGTAGTGATTAACATTTGCAGTATAGCATGATCAGTTAAGCAGAAAAAATCAATACAAAGGTAACCAGGAAAAGTACAAAAGTTCCCATAGATTCAGTTATAATAAACAAAGATTATTTTGGCCAGGAGAGCCATTAATCAGACAGTTAGAAGTAGCTGTATGCACAGAATTTGAATATCTTATTGTATATTAAAGTTTCTCAGAATTTGTCATGGGGCAAAAGGATACGCTAGATTGAGTAGAGGTAATAGATTTATTATAAGGTCTTTGTGATGTCTTACTTAGCTATCCATCCTTTTCTGTCTAAAATGTTTCTCTGTGTACTATAAACTCTGACTCTTCAGTAACTGTTTCTACGTGTTTAGTTTGTACTAGCCAGCTTTTGTTATTTCTTTGCCTAATTGATATATATTCTTATTCAAGGTAAAGGAAGGGCTGTTACTCCAACAACTTTTAGACATTCGGGAGCTATTTCATTAGAGGGGATTTTGTTCTCTGGTCAAGAAATTATTTTGTACAACTTCATTGGAATTATGCGAGTCAATGAACCTGAAATACAGGTGTCTAACAATCCCACCACCTTCTGGTCACCCAAACAAACGTGTAAGGGGAGACAGACAGGAAGTCCCGCCACAGGTGCCTCTGCCCTGCAGATGCATCTCAACCGTCCCGACCGTACCCCTGGGCTGTGGGTCGGGGTCTACATAGTTTTTACTTGTTTTCTTGGAAGACCCTTTGTATCTGTGGGTGAGGAACAGTCGTGGGAAAGTCTTTCTCTTCTGTTCTTCCCTCAACTGTTGG